CCCTCGATATTTCCCATTAAAAATACACATTACCACTGCAAAAAAAATGCGAATTTACTTTTTTTACACCCTATATATCAAATCAACCCCCTACATACAACGAAACATCATTTAAGATACATAAACCGACATGATTTACCCCAAATGTTCGGTTTCGGTTCGTCCCTATTCCCTGACCGTAGAAAGTAATAAACCGTCGAGTTCGGCACGTGAAAAACCTGAAACGAAAATTAAAAAAAATAACGACGCCGCGCTCTTTTCCCGGCTAATCCGCCGGCCCGTCCCTACCGATAACGTATGTAGGTGAAAATCGAGCGCGGACTATAAATTTTATTTAGTGCACGCCACATAACGAAACGTTCTTTTAATCATTTTTGTTCGAAAGCGACCGAGTAATTAAGGTGACAAGTCACCCGGGCGGCGATACTTCATTGCGATGTGACCGACGTGCATTGGGGGGTGTTAGTGATGGCGGTACGGTGAGTACGGAATTATTCCATAAATCTGTTATTCCCGGATTCGTTTTGCAGGTTTTTTTCCATAAGGATTAGTATTAATTACCGCATTAGGGAGGAGTGACGTGTGAAGTTTGGTGTATTCATTTTTTATACCTCTCAGGAGTCAGCTAAATTCGAAACCAAAATATAATACAAGTTTTAGTAAAAGTTTATAGTAAAAGAATTCATAGGTATAAGGTTAAGGATATTACTTGGATAAACTAGTATATTTGAGGTACTTAATCTAGATAATTTTCCACCGAATAAGATCAACATTTTATTATCATTTTCCAATATTAACATGAATCAGAAAATACACTTGAACTCAGGTACTACAATGTATGTATGTATGTTCCTATCACATGGACTAAACATCGGTTTTGGACGGCGGCTACCGAAAATAAATTAATATTAATTCAATCTGTCCCTGCAGAAAAATTCGGCAGATTCGCGGTTGATACGCAATTAAAAAAAAACGCGACCGTATATATTCCTTCTCCCCCGAAACGTAATTGTAATAATTCTCAATTACGCAGAGTAACGAACGTGTACTGCCTTTTTGCCAATAAAAAAAGAGCCACCCGCAGCGGAGCGAATAAATACCGAACGAATGGACGTCGGCGCGTCCCGGCAGGAGAGGAAGATGAGAGTTTGAAAATCGAAAAAGGCTTTTCATGCGAGCTTTACATCGGCTACAAGTTGCTACTAATAATGCTTAGGTAACTAGAATTTTATGCACTCGCTAATAATCCACCAGACTTTTTTTAAGCAAAAAAGCGGTATAATGAGTCAAAAATATTATGAGACATTTACAGGATACTTCAACAAGAAAAACAACCCTAACGAACTATATAGGAGCTGAAATAAACCGAAAACACATTCCCTTATTTGTCCTCCTTTCAAATTATCGTAATTTGGGAAATCGCCTGGCTGGTACCCGTATATGGAGAGAACTCGAACCCCATAAATTGAAAACTTGAAAATCGGCCTTTTCCAACACCCCCGGTCCGATAATTAACAACTCGTTCGGCCCTTTCTAATGACCATATGATTTGCTGCAGCTTTTGTAACTCTACTTTAATTGCGAATTGAGTTATTAGCAAATGTTAAGTTAAATTTAATGGGGTATAGATCATTCGTTCGGTTTCGGCTAATTGCCGTGTGGAAGCGAGCCGGAATTATTTTCGGTAATTGGCCGAATTCGCGCGTAGGTATATGTTGCTGTAAAAAACGCGAAAAGAGCTCTTCGTGATTTTTGTTTTTCCGATTCCGACCGTCTGAATGGTGCTTTTCGATTCATAACACAGAAAAGTATGCTAATCTATAGTCCTTTCAATCGAGTAGAGAGGAAACCGCAACTCTTTGGACCTTCGTTCATTACAGGAGGATATTCTACTTTCACTGAAAAACATTAATTAATGAATTCATAAAAAGTATATATCAAATTTTTGTGTATGTAAGTTTATAATAATTTTCTTAGACAATATTATTTTAAAGACTAATAATCGGTATGTAAGAGAAGGATATCCTCCTGTAGTGAACGCAAATCGGGCGAAATCTCTAATATCTAATATCTGAGCGGGACACGGAGTTATAGATTTCCTCCGATATTCAAATGAAGCTCACCCTCCGTTGAAGGGTTGCGAAAATTCACAATCATATTTTCTCCAAGGGTGAACACCCCCCCACGGACGAAATGGCTTTCGAGCCTTTGTGTATACAGAAACCCGGATTTTTTGACAGGTTTTTTGCGCGCGTTTGTTTTTCGAATTTTTGCATACCCAAATCAATTTTTTACTAATCCCGAAAGCACCTCCGACGGCGCTAATCGTTTATTTAGCACCGTCGCCGATGGAGCCGATCGAATTTTTAATTTTTCGCGCCCTCCACAATGTGCTAGAAAAAATGTCTTGGATATATTTGATCTAAATTCGAATTTCAATGAGTGTTAAGTGACGTTTAGGAGAACAGGTAGTAAGTATTTAGACGGGAGGCTCTAAAAAGCACCTCAAACATAAACCAAAGACATACAACTAGCAAGCAGGAGCTGCGGCCCGGCGCTAATTGAGACGAATACGTTTCCTGATTGTTGTTTGTTCGAGTGTTTGAAAACCGACCGAGTTGACGAGCACCTTCTTCCCTGCATATTTCATGGATTTATTTATAGTTACTCGTGTCGTCGAATTGTTTCGCCTCCTGCAATTAGGCGGCGTCCCGAATTAATACGTACAAACCGGCGGCTCGGCGGGATTAGCGCGCGGTTTCTGAGATATGCACTTACGCGAGCTTACGTAAAGAATTATTCCTGTTTCGTTTAATTAATGCTAGACGGCGCTTTTTTCCCGTGGCAGCGGAGAAGCGATAAAACCGACGGGGCGTTTCGCGGCGCTGCGTGGAAAATCCGAAAACCCGAAAAATCGAAAAAAAAGAACAAAAACGAATCCGTTGTATCTAGTTTGTTGAACACAGATGTGTCAGCGGGCGTTTTGTAAAAGGCATACGGTGGAGTTAAATGTGGCGAAAATATTTAACAGAGCAGTGACAATGTCTATTGCAGCACGCCGGAGTCTCGCCCGTACTCCACTTCGCTCTTTGCTCCCGGAGCCGCCGACAAGAATATTAGGGGTGGATTATATTCGAAATGAGGGAGAAATTTACAATTTATATCAAACGATCAGAGGCGTTCAAATAATCATAATAACAACTACTTATCTATCTAATATTATCAACATTTTCATACCTCTAACTATCTATTAATTAAATACCTAATATCATATTATCAAGTGCTCTCAAAAACACTCAATTATATTCAATCACAAACCAAATCCTCAATTACTAGCAGACTAATAAATTATCTACCAAATAATGCAAACTAAAACTTTAAGTAACAACTAAAGTAGTCTAAAAACAATATCCAAAGTACTAAAGAATACATTTTATCGTGAAAACACAACTCTTTAACCCCCACAGAAAAAAAACTCCACCACTGTTGACGCTTAAAAACGTCGTTGATGATTTGTAACTCGATCTCTGTACGGGACACTTTTATGATGACGTGCCTGCTGTGTATATACGCCTGTATGAATATTTTCGGCTTTACATGTAGCAAAATAAAGAAAAGCGACCGGACTCTGCGGCATCTGGACAAAAAATCGTTACTTATTTCGCTGTGAAAGCCGTGTTAATGTATCAATTTTTGAGTTTAAGTGAGCGCAATTTCAGAAGATACACACACTAACATTATAATAAAAGAACACTCCAACGATTTCCTTCTATATGCAGAAGATAGCAATTTCTGCAATAAATTTTCAATTCGACGTACATAAAATTTTCCTCTTACATTTATGAATATATACGTTGAATAAAAACGTTCATCCTCTTGCAGCAAGGCCGGCTCGAACGGCTCTCCATCACTGTCGAATAAATTTTTTCTCGTTCTCTTTCGCGGATCATTTGCCTAATGCAAAGTGGCCCGTAGCATGCCTATAAGATATACACTCAAAACTATATTTAATGTCCCGTTAAATACATCGCGGATGAGGACGTGTATCCGTTTTGAAATATGTCCCGCTTTCTTTTTTCTAAGGACATTACTCATTTCTTTCCCGCTTGCTTCGGCATCGATTGCTTCCCCGAAGATTCCTCCGAAAAACGCCTTGCTGGAAACTAATGAGTGGATTGCGGCCCGGGTAAAAGTTCGCCCTGTGTGTGTGTGTTGATGCGGGGAATTTCGATTGTGTACCCTCTTAACTGAATTGGCCCAAAACCTGTTAGGTCAATGGTGTGTTACTAATGAATTTTAGATATAGTTCGCAAACTATGAATATTCGAACTATGTGTACGTGAACGCATCAGCGACGGTACGGAATAATTGATGTGGCAATTTCTGCTAATATCAATTCTTTATTTCTTCGGTGTTAATAGATAATAATGAAGCTGATGTTTTTATAAAACTCTTGTGACAAGAAAGAAAACTTTTTTAATCGCCTATTGAATGAAATATACTTTGTAATCTATCAAATTCAACTACGACCATGGAAAATTCCTGTCGATTTTGAGATAAACTGCTAACACAACATGTTATATTGTTCTCGAATCTTCTCAAGAACGCACTTTCCGAATTACCATATTTATAGGTATAGTTTTAGTCTTGATAATAAGACAAATAGGAGGGTTTATAAACACTCAAAACATGGAACACTCCTATAATACCAATTCACTTAAAAATTAGTTTTACTTAGTTTCAGAGAAGCGAATAAATGTACAATAAATATGGAACTGACGTTTTTAATAAGTTAATACGAATTAAAATAAAAATAGTGCTTACATAAGAAGAAATTAAATTAAGATTCCGCAACGATCATAATAATTAGGAATTAAATTAAAAAAATATACAATAAAATTTGGAAAGCCGGTCCGCATCGGATCGCCGGCTAGTGACATCGAATATCATTAGAGGATTCCGCATAATACGCATACATACATATTATATGCGGAGATTCTTGAAATTGAAAGATTACAGAGGCCGCATTGTGTACGGTCGAACCCCGGGAAAATTTTTACAAATATGCAAATCTAGATATATATGACTTTTCGTATTATGTAGGGCGGATGGCGAATAAATACATTGATAAATCTTCCGCCTTTTGTGGATCTAATACGAAAACGTCGCGCAGAGTCGAAAGAAAAAAACCGACATTATCTGAAAAAAAGGGGAACTTCCTTTTCGCATACAGGGTGTATTACAATGATAAAAATGCATATAATCAATACAAATGCTTATTCGATTACATTTACCCTTACACGCACCGAATTGTTACTCACATCATCGATAAATTATCATTTATATACCAACATATTCTAATTACTGTTTACTGTTTACTCTTAATAGACTGACTTTTGTAAATAATATTCTTAATCATGTAAGTTAACTGCGGCAGGAACTGCATAATTTTATCGATTTTCACCATCGACAGCACTTCATTGGTACTGTACCGTCCTGTCGTTTTCAATATCCTCATTTGGGCGGTATTAGCTTTGTAAATATCAATACCCAGCACGTCTATGACCTGCTCGCAAACGCTAACCGGTATACCAAAGAAGAAATCTGTACTAAGATCCACTACCGGCACCCACCTATCATTTATATCGTTGGGTTTCATATTAATGCATATAACGATTTTATCGTGTACCATCACATATTGCATCTTGTACACCGAATAGCTACTGCTGGAGTACTCGTGCGATACCGCTACCAGGGTGCTACTGGAGGAAGGTGGATTACCCGCAGCGATCGGTTCTTTCGCGACTTTAATAAACTTCGGCAAAACCGCCAGGCGTTTCCTCGGGGGGCTCTTGTAATGGTGGACGTTCGCTTCCGGAACGGTAATCGCGTTTACGGCCATATTGTACAGCGAATTCAACGATACAGGCGCGTCGGATTTTTGCTTGAATTTATCGCCGGCGCTCCTGCCAGGCCAGTACTCCTCGAATACCGTGTCGGGCGGGAAATGGTTCGTTAGGTGAGTGATGCTCACCACGGGACAGTAGCTGCCCAATATCAGGTCGTTTCTTATGCCTAAAAAACGCGGATTGATTTAGGAAACCACACTCATTAGTCCTGATGCATTTAATTTTTGCGGAGGAATAGTGGATTGAACCTTACCTTGAATCTTACAGCAGAACTTCAAGTAAGCGAAATCCCAGCCTTCGGCTCTCAATGTAAATTTCTTCAAATAGCTGATTTCCCCTTCGAAGTAAAACAACGGTACGCACTTTTGCCCGCCCAGCACGACGTAAGGTACCACCGACTCCTTGTTGATCCTGATAAACCCGCACCGGTTCGATATATCGTACTCCTTGATGTTCTCAATCCTGAGATAGCAGGCGTGCAGGAAGGCGCACAGCTGGCCGGCATCGTTCAACTTCAACAATATATCCTCCGTCGAGTACTTCTCTTTGCCGAACTGGAAGTTGCAGTGGTTGGAGTTGATGTCGTTGAGCAGCCCGGCCTCGGCTTGGGTCACCTGCGCGTACTTCACGTTGGCGCAGCTGACCAGCTGCTTGTAGTAGCCGGCGAACAGCTTGGCGCAGATGCGGATCTCCAGCATCTTGTAGCAGACGTACTTGCTGTCCGAGCGAAAGAGGTAGGGCAGATCGTGGGTCATGATCTGCGCCCAGCCGAAGCGGCCCTTCAGGGAGTCGTCGTCGGTGATCCTGCGGGGCGATTTGCCGGTTTTGCTGCCGAGCGAAGCGATAGCAGTAGATGATGTTGTTGCTGATGCTAATGTTGATGTTGATGTTGATGTTGATGTTGATGACGAACGTTCTTCTTTGACTTCCATTTTGTAGGAGTTTCGATTCAACGGTGCACTAGATTATTAGAGTGTGATGTATTTCCGGAAATAATTCGTTTGATTCGTTATTGTGTAGTTTTTTGTACGATTTAAATGTGTTATTTAATATTGTAATTACGTGTTTAGTGTAATTATGATTAAATTAATAGTTTTTGTGCTGAATAAATTATTCACAAGTGACAATACGAAACGACATTGACTGTAGTTGTCAGTTGTTGACATATCAAGACTAACTTGATAAGGTTATCTGTCAAAGAATGTTGCTATGGTTATTTACGATTAAGTTCTGAGAGTAAACAACTTATCGTAGAAGCCTTGCAAGGTGAAAGCGAAAACTGTCAAAATGTCTAATTTTGAGGTTATGAGTCAAGTTTGATAATAGTTGATTTGAAAAGATGGCTTGATTTGAAACTTTTATTTTCTAAATAATTAGGTGTTTTAATCAAGATGCACTGGATAAATAAGTAAGTTAAGATGTGGTAACACTGATAAATTGTAAAAAATCCCTAAGAACTGTCATTTTGGATATTTGAAGGTTCAAATTAGTATGACAGTTAAGACTACTTAAAAAATTGATTAATCAAGCATTATTCTTCTCAGGGTGTACCAATATTAAAATTTTGTTCAGAACAAAGACACTCTGTATATTATATTTGACTTATCTACCTACTGTATCAAAGAATTTAGATTAGTGTAACATTTTTTCCGAATATAAACGCATATAGTGAAACCCTTTTTGCCGGTACTTCTGCACCCCTTTTAGGCCACACCAGAAAATAAATTCTTATATATAGAGAGAGCATTATACATCAGTTTGATATCCGAAAACAACTCCTCGGCTTCTTCATATCCATTAGATGGCACAAAAGGCCTAAAGTTTAGTAATTCCCTTTAAGAATTCCTGAGTCGCCATTAGTAAGAAAGCGTCGTTCCTTACGTGTTATGTGCGCGACGCCGCGTTAGAAGGATCCGACGATTTTAGTAGTTAGTGCGCTTTGGAATGCTAGTGTTACTTTAATTAAGAATAAAGACGTTTATTACGGATCGCGATTGTAGTCTTTAAGAGGCTGCGAGTCGTAATGGGAATAATGTATGCCGAATGGAAGTGCGAATGTGCACGTGTACACGTTTGCCAACTGGAATAAGGCACGAGGAGGAAGCGTTAAATGGGTTAAAGTTACAGAAATATATTTATTATTACGGACGTTATTGGGAAGGGGAATTTTTTGTAACATTTGGTTCGAGTTTACCCCAACAGTAAATAGTCTTGTAAGGCGAGTATGGTGTTTATTTTTTGAAGATTAATTCCGAATGGGCGGAAAGTCCATTATCCGAATTTAAACGGCCGGAATCTCGCGCGGGATGCATTCGAGCGTGGCGTCGTGCAGGAGAGGATGTAGTATATAGCAGGAGATCCGGCGCGCTCCGGCTGTACCACTTAATTAATCGAATGAATAGTGATTTAAGTTAGTCATGTACGTACAAACAATTGGCTGAGAACCAAATTCGAACAATATCTCCGAGTTTGGGAAACAGTTTAGGCGTTATTTCGATTCTATTAAATTCCATTAAAGCTAAAGATTTGTACATGTATATGGGGTAATACGTTCCAACGAAAGTGCAATTTAATTTCCATTTTATTTAACATAAATCGTACATTCCATATTTTTGTTATTACCTACTACCTACCTTTAAACCTACTAGCGCATTACAATTTTCCATAGAATACAAAAACCTAAAATCACACTCCCGTTTTCGCTCATAAAATTCAAGTACCTACATATTAATAAACCCATTTCCAATAAATTAAATAAATAATTTGATTATCTTTTTACTTTTAACTAAATCAAATTTTCCTCGAAACACCACCCTCTATAAGCACGTATATGTGTGTTGAGCGCATACACTTTACAACTTGTTCCGAATGCTAGAAGGATGTTAAATTGTTGTGTTTACTGGTAACAAACCGAGTATAGAATCCTTCGGCTCCCCGCGCTACCCGCGCGCCCCCGCGTCTTCGATGTCACAACCGAATTCCACTTGACACGTCATTGCGTTATTTCGTTTCGATTGTGTTCCGGAGGAATCCGGGATGCTCTTAAAGGGGCGAAATTTAAGCGTTATTAAACGTTTTTTGATCAATAATTGAAAGTTGGTTTTATTGTACGTATTCGAAATCTTTTAACAAGTTTAGTTCCTGTATTTGGCGTATGGCGGATAATTGTTGGTGTCCAAGAAGTAGAGGCCTCTGGCACTAAAAATTGATCAATCAATGCGATTCTGGAGGGTTCAATTTGAATGAAACTTACTCTTTATCTAAACCGTAACCACCCATCCAGGATGCTGGTTTGTCTTCGCAGACATTGTTTCTGAAACTGTCGTAATTCATGCAATTCAGCGCTATATACTTTCCGTTTAGAAGCGATTCCAAGTAATAAGTCAGCGCCATTTTTTCCGAACAACTACCCAGGATTTTGGTGATGCACATCGGTTGCAACTGGCCCCCGTTCGGGAAATAATCGGCATGTCCCAACGGCCCAGCGTGTGCTAGAAGAACACCAGACGTGTGGATGACCTCCACAAATTTGGCGCTGGTGTTCGATATTCGCGGCGAAGATTCGAAGAAAAATCCCGGTTCAGTCGGAGCAAGACCTGCAAACATCAATTAACACCCTAATTTGATACCACCATTCATAATTTACCAATAATTTGTTTAACAGCCCCGTCCAATTCTCGCCCAGCCACTCCAACTACATGGGCTCCTATAGCGTTACCTGCCATAGTAACATTAGCTAACATCAAACCATTATTTTCCACCATAGACCACACGGAATCTCCTAAGGCTTTACCAACGTCATCGACTTCATTTATTACACTCGGATAGAAAAATCTGTTTGCTATATTCGACCAATCGACCAAGAATATGTTGATATCGTGGTTTAGCAGTAGAGTATATTTTAATTGTTGACCGGAACTTGCTATACTTAGTACATCATCATTCCTGCCGTGTACGTAAATAAATGTTTCTTTATCATTGATAAATGGTACCTCCGCTACTTGAACGGGATCGGACATATCAAGTTGGATCCCCTCAGATGGATTTAAGGTGCTAAAGAAGTAGCTTTTTAGCTTCAATTCGCCTGAAATTAATTTCATTCGAAAGGTAATAGAATTATCTGAATTATTGGTAATAGTAATACGTACGGGTCGATGTTGATGATATAGTAAATAATATGTAAAACAACTGTTTAAGTATCATTTTAAAACTTTTAATGTCACCACGAAGTAACGAAGTTAAATGAACACTAAAATAACTAATAATTGATTTATTTTTAAATTACCTAATCCTTAAGGCTGTATTTTAATCATATATTTTTAGATATACAACACGTAGGTGTTATCGGCTATAAATTCGTGATAAGCTGTTAGATTTGTTTTTATTTCCGTTTTTTAATTTTTCAGATGATGATTGTTTTTGTTTTAAAATAAATAACATTATAACAAATATATTCGATAAGTAAACTGTCAATAAATAAACTGATATTTTCATAGGTAGGTATGTACACAAACAAACCTAATCTCTTTATTTTTAGCTCAATGTTGCCTTGTGCATTTGAATTTAATAACTATAATAAATCAATAACAATAAATTTTATCCCTATGGAGTAAATGCAAGATATAATAATACTTTAAAATTAATCATAGCAAAATTAAATAGGTATATAAATATGGTTACCTAAAATATAGGTTCTATCAAAGTCAATAATTACTCGTACTTACAATGAAGCGTTTAATATCAATAACTATTATACTACTAACAACTCTTCAATCACAATCTAGTAAGCTATTAATTTTACTATTATCCATTTGTTTAAATAGAATTCTATTCAGTTTCAGGTACAAATGAACCCGGTTCCCAGGAGCACATAAAATTCTTCTTCTACCAGGACGAACAGGGCCATATAAAAATCGAAGATTTAACCAGCAGTCCCGCTCAATTATCCCTAAGTCTCAACGATGTTGCCTACTATTTCTACAGCAAAAAGAATCCTGAGAGAGGAATCGAAATTCATGGCGGCTATGCCAAGAGTGTCCACAGGACATATTTCAACGCAAGCAAAGAAACAGTTTTCATCATACACGGGTGGAAAGCTAACCGGAAATCTGTCGTAAACTCGATTATCAAAGACCAGATATTAAATTTCCACGACGTGAATGTCTTCGTGGTAGATTGGAGCCCAGTGTCTGCCAGAAATTACATATCAGCTAAAAGAAGCGTAGAAAAACTGGGCGAATTCGTAGCGAACTTCGCCAAAAAACTCCGCTCAAATTCCGGTTTAAAATTCACTCGATTAACATTAGTCGGGCATTCCCTGGGCGCCCACATAGCGGGCTGCGCCGGCAAGGCTCTCGCCGGACAAATATCCAAAATCATCGGTAAGTCCACTCGAAATTTATCGCTTTGACCTCACCGTTCGGCTCCCTTCAGGCTTGGACCCGGCCGGGCCGCTCTTCTCGCTGGACAACCGGCTGAACCGCATCGACAAATCCGACGCCCGATTCGTCCAAATCATCCACACGAACGCCGGAAAACTCGGCTTCGACGGTCAATTGGGACACGCGGATTACTATCCGAACGGCGGCAGCTCGCAGCCCGGCTGCGGTTTCGATTTTACCGGTACCTGTTCCCATTCGCGTGCGTACAATTACTACGCTGAATCGCTAATCACCGATAAGTTCTCTTCGGTGCAGTGCGATAATTACAGCGACTTCCGAAGCGAGAAATGCGACAGGGTTACGTCTTATATGGGAACGCTTAGGGTTGATACGCGGTAGGTTATGCAGTAGGTGTATGTTGGATAAAATGTAATTTTTGGTTTGTTTTAGGGCTTATGGTAAATATTTTCTAACGACAAATAGTGAAATTCCTTGGGCTAGGGGGTAGAGACACCAGGAAGCGTTGGTTTATTTATTAATTCAATATTTATTATAATTAAGAGCATAACAATAACTTATAAATTGTTCAAACAAATTGTACAAATACACTTTTTTTATAAATGAAATACAGTTACGTTTTTTTATAATAATAGTATTGTGTTTCGAGTGATTGTTTAAATAATTTAATGAGACTAGAAAGTATTAAGGAATTTTGTTTTTAATATTAAAATAGATAAGTATAGTTAAATATTTTGAACGTTTGCTATTGTACTATTCGTTAGTAACGATGAAACTTCTCATTTTAATAACCTCGTTTTCGACCGTTCTATCATTACTAAGTAAGTAAAAAAAATTGATTTAATTTATACATAATTTTCTTCTATATTGGCAGATGACGCAATCGAAACCCAAGATTCTCAATTATTCTTCGTTTATCTAGGCATAAACGAGGAAATACAAGTCGAGCAGTTGCTCGCTCCCATCGATTCATCGTTCACCTCCAACGATATCATCTACTACTTCTACAGCAAATCGAATCCCACGAACGGTATTAAAATTCGCAGCTACGACAGCAGCGCCGTGCGATTCACCTCTTTCGATAATACCAAAAGAACCATTTTCTCCATCCACGGATGGAAAAACAACGCAACATCAGATGTCAACAACTACATCAAAGATAACGTCCTCAAGTACTTACTTTAAGCGATCGTTATCCATCGATTAAACCCCGCTATTTTTGCAGGAACCACGACGTGAATGTCTTCGTGGTCGATTGGGGCGCCATAGCCGATAAGAATTACATTTCGGCCAAAGAGTGCGTTCCCGGCGTCGGGGCGGCCGTCGCGAGTTTCATCAAAGAACTCATTTCCAAGTACGGCTTGAGCCTGGATCGACTCACCATTGCAGGACACTCGCTCGGCGCTCACGTGTCAGGATGCGCAGGCAAAGCTCTAAACTCTCAAGTCGATACCATTGTCGGTAATACTCAAATTTTACTTCTCTCACTTTAATAATAATTACTCCTATGGTGCATCTCTGGATTACAGAAGGGATGGATTATTTATCATCATCATTACTATCATCTTCATTATTAACACTGGAGATATCCTTTTTAGGTTTGGATCCAGCCGGTCCTCTTTACAGCGCGCTCATCTTGGAAAACCGACTGGATAAATACGATGCCCGTTTCGTGCAGATTATCCACACTAACGCCGGTCAGCTGGGCTTCGATGGGAATTTGGGCGACGCGGATTTTTATCCGAACGGTGGAAAAACGCAGCCGTACTGCAATTTCGATGTAACGGGTTCCTGCTCGCACGGCAGGTCATACAGGTACTACGCGGAGTCGTTCAATAACGATAATTTCGTGGCCAGAAAGTGCGATGACTATCTCAGGTTCGAGAGTGATAAATGTGATGGAAGAACGTCCGTAATGGGAACCATAAGTGTTGATAAAAGGTAACATTTTCGATTGCAAATCTAGTAGAAGTTCGACTAAAGTATGAACCGGTGTTTCTACAAGACATAAAAGTATATCATTATTAAAAAAATCTCATTTTTACAGTGCTACAGGAGAGTATTATTTAAATACACTCGGCGAAGAGCCCTGGGCTGAAGGGTAAACAGAAGTACCACAATTTAATGTACTTACTCGTTTAATAATTGTTGAATAAATTCTTAAATGTTTAATAGTTTTTAAATTTAAATCGGATTTTAAAGAGTTGATAATAATAATTAACATGCCATAGTAAGTATAAAGCATCCAAGTAAACATACTCTACAACCTACAGACTAAGGAGCTGCCAAATTGGTCGAATTTATTACTCGAATAATGCAGGAATTATTTTTTAAACAAAAAACCAGAATTTAATGTGTAAATAATTAAGCAAGATGAATCTTCCGTCAGTAATTTTCACAACATTTATTATTAGTTTATATTCAGGTAAGTATTTATTGATTTGTGTATATCTGACAGGTTAATGATAAAGTCAACCCAAAATGTCCAATTTGCAGAAATCCTGGGAGTGGAAGTCGACGAATACGCTCTTAAATTCTTCTTCTACGGCAGAAAAAACCAAACCCGCGGAATTCCCAGCAACATTTCGAATCGTTCGAACATCTCCAAAACGTCGTTTTCGACCAGGAAAGACACATTTTTCATCATTCACGGCTGGCAGGATTCTGTAAACTCAACCAGCAGCGTGTCCATAAAGGAAGCCATTCTCAGAAATCACAAAGCCAACGTTTTCTTGGTCTATTGGGACGAAGTAGCCAAGGAATCCTACTTGAAGGTGGTATCCAAAATCGAAAAATTAGGCACCTTACTCGGCACGTCGATAAATAAATTCGTAAACACCAGCAAATTGAAACTAGACACCACCACATTGGTCGGGCATTCCTTAGGAGCCCACATAGCTGGCACAGCTGGAGCAGCTTTAAATGGCAAAGTAGGTGTAATTGTAGGTTAGTACAGCTTTATTAACTCCTCCAGTTTTATCTCATCAACGTGTTGCATTTTATCTGCTTTTTCCAGGTTTAGATCCTGCAGGTGTGGGTTACTCCTCGTCCACAAAATCCAAGCTGAACGCGTCGAACGCGAAATTCGTCCACGTGATTCACACGTGCGGTAAGGGTTTCGGTACCATGATGCCCATGGGTCACGCCGATTATTACCCAAACGGAGGCGGGCTGCAGCCCATGTGCAGATTGCTGAATTTTAATTGTTCCCACAATAAGGCGTTGAAATATTACGTGGAGTCGTTGGGGAGAGGCGTTTTCAGGGCGAGGAAATGCGACAGTTACGACGATTTTAATAAGGGAAAGTGCGATAATTCGACGAGCTCCTTGATGGGGAACTATAAGATTGATAAGAAGTGAGTTGATTACTGGTGATCTGGTGATAGTGATTTTTTTATTGTTTTAGGGCTAACGGGACATACTATTTGAAAACCAATCTCAAACCACCCTATGCACTGAATGTTAAAGCACATTAGACGATATGACCTAAAATTGGTTTATTATTGAAATTATTAGTATACAGTGATGAATTTCATGAAGATTGGTATACCTAGTACCTAAAAATTAAATAAAAATTACTTAATAAAACCAAATATATTTTTATTAGGTACCTACCATTTCAACTGTATTATTACCTTCGAATATTGGAGGTTCTTAAAGAAAAATATAAAATTAGATACAGTAACTGTAGAAATAATTATTTTCGTGTGCCAATAAAAATTTTAATTTAAACAGTTTTTTCGATCACGAATTCTATACCGTTTATAATTTAATGATAAGCCCTGTGTAATTAAATTTTTATTATGTTTCCTACGTATGCTACTAGTTTTTTTGTAAGCGAATACCAGTGATTAAAACAGAATTTATTAATAATGTTATATTCACTGTTTTTAGTATTTCTAGCATTTCAAAATGCAGGTAAGACCATTTCATTTAATTATTGCAATTCGAGAATGTAAAGTGGATATAATTTCATAAACTATTAGAAATTTTGAATTTTTAAACGATTTATTTATTCGGGTTTTAATCAAATTACTTTATTTACAGTACAGCAAAGTATGAACGAGCTGGTTCATATTAAAGATTCCGAAATAACGAGTGACCACATAAAAATTTACTTCTACTGCAGATACCGCGAACACACACCGAAGTTGGTGGAATTATCCGATTTCGATCAATTAAGCAAAGCCGGTTACTCCGAGACAAAAAATAATTATTTCTACATACCCTGTTACAAAATAGACCCTCTCGACTGGCTCAGCGACAGCCAACGCCTCAAAGATACCGTGATCCACGCGCACGATGTGAACTTCTTCTTGGTCGATTGGACGTCCCTCGCCACCGTGGACGTTGTGGACAAGCACACCTACCTGGTCGGGAGAATCAAGGACATCGGTAAACTAGTAGGCAAGATGATCAAGGATTTCATCACCGACAACGCCTTAAGCTTCGACAACACCCAAATCGTCGGGTACTCCGTGGGCGCCCACATAGCCGGCATAGCGGGCCGCGAATGCGACGGGAAGCTGTCCCAGATTCTGGGCCTCGATCCGGCCAGCAGGGAATTCTCCCTGGAGAACGAGTCCAATCGCCTGGCGCCGGATTCGGCCTTGAACGTGCAGGTCATCCACACCGGCGGCGATGATCGCGGTTTCCCGGAGCCCATCGGCTGGAGCGATTGGTATCCCAACGGCGGTATGTCGCAGCCCATGTGCGACAGTAGCTTCGAAAAAGACCCGTCGAAGTGTTCCCATTCGATGGCCATCGAATTCTACTTGGAGTCGATTTGTACGACCAATTTCGTCGCTTGGCCGTGCCCGGGGTACCATGAGTTCAAACGAAACCGCTGCTCGAACGTTGGAAAGCCCGCTTGGATGGGGGGATTCCTCTTGGACCCGCAGTAAGTAGATCAAAAAAAATTATCTTCGAATTTTATAGATTTTTGTTTGCAGTGCGAAGGGGACTTACTACTTCGATACGAAGCTGCAATCTCCTTTTGCGAAAGGTTAAGCTTGGGTATATCGTTTGTTATATCAGTCGATGAATAAAATATTTCAAATCCGCTTCTGTGTTCATTTATAAATGTGTAACAAATGACCTCCACAAGAACTGTTGTATAAAAAATATATCATTTTTACTCTTTGCATTATAAATGCAATGTCATTATAATAAAATTATTGTTAGTTGTAGGATTGCATAATAACAGAACAGAAAGTGTTTTTTTTTTGGTTTGATTCAATTCTCATTATTAGAGAAAAATGTACGCACGGTTCATAATTTTTGTGATATTAGCCTCTTTAGGTAAATATACCTTAATTATTCTATACATATACTAGTTAGTAATTTTTAATATTTCAGCTAATTCGCAATTAAGGCAATCAAGTATAAACACATATTTCTATTCGAAATTAAACCCAGTATTAGGTTACAACGTCAACATAACGGATCAATCTATATTAAAGAGAGTTAATTACTCGAACAAAAAGGATACGGTTTTCATAATACACGGTTACTTAGAAATGCCCACGACTTCCATAAGTTCTAGTCAGGAAATAAAAAACTCGATTTTATCGAAATACGACGCCAACCTTATTGTCGTCGATTACGGCAATCCCGCTGCCATTTTTTACCCTGCAGCTGTGCAACAAGTAAAAATTGTTTTCTCAGAAAGAATATACTTACTCGCTTCCTTAACAACCACTATCCCTATGCGATTTATGTATTTTTTAGGTTACACCAATCGCAGGACGTTTATCAAGAATGATAAAAAGTATGATAGATAACTCAGGACTAGCTTTGAACACGACCAAAATAATCGGTGTATCCTTAGGAGCGCATATAGCAGGAATAACAGGATACAATTTGAATGGTGAAGTGGAAGAAATTATAGGTATCTACAGTAAAATAACAAAATTTCAAAGTTTAAATGCTGATTAATTTTAGCTCTAGATCCTGCTGGACCGCTTTTTGCGGCAGGAGAGTCCACGAATCGTCTATCAAAATCTAGCGCTAAATTCGTGCACGTTATTCATACTAACGGTGGTGGTTTAGGTAACCTGGAACCCTTAGGGCACGCGGATTACTACGTTAATGGGGGTAGAACACAACCCGCTTGTGGTCCGATTCCGATAGGTTTGTGTCCTCATGGTTTATCGGTGACTTACTACTCTGAATCGATACGCAGAGGAAGGTTCAAGGCTAAAAAATGCAGTGATTATAGGAAATTTAAAAGCGGAGGATGCGAGAACGAGGAAGAGTCTTGGATGGGCGGTTATGATTTGGATAAAAAGTAAGGTATTTATAAATATTTTTTACTTTTTGTTAATTTTTTTTGTCGTTTACAGGGCGAATGGAACGTATTATTTGGACACCAACGCATCACCACCATACGCAAAAAATTAATTGATTAATTAACGTATCACAAAAACCACTTACAATATTAATCTGTAAATATTTTTAATTTGAGAGTATTTGTTGTCTTCCAATTAAAGGGGATTATTATAAAAATACTTCAATTTTTAATTTGACTAATTATTTCAATTTTTTATTAGGTATTGTTTATAGAAGTGATAATTGATTAAACCTAATTAAGATAAATCTACTTCAAAATATAAAGGAAATGAATCTAGAAATTTTTATTATTATTACTTAGCCAATCGAAACATGAACATTTACGTGTTATTAGTTACTTTCTTCGTTGGAGGATTTGCCTATCCAGGTAAGTGTTTGTAGATTTAAAACAACGTTTCGCCAATATTATTTGATTTTTTATTTCATTTTTCAGACAGGCTTTTCAGGGAAATATCTCCGGGCGTTTACCAAGCTGAACAGATTTCTTCACCCTTACCTGACCTAGAACTAGCAGTTAAAGATAACGACGTAAAAATTTACTTCAATGACCAGAAAATTTACTTCAATTCCCAAAAACCGGTACTTTTGAACTTGTCAAATTCTCAAGAAGTATTGAACAAAGGATACGATGACCGAAAGGTATATTCTCCAACTAATTCTCAACTCCAGTGTAAAGGGTTCTCAAAAATTTTTCTACATATTACTGGTAGAAATTACCTTTCTTTCTATTTCATTCCTTGATATTTCAGGACACAGTTTTCGTGATTCACGGATGGCACAACGAATACGATTCGCCCATGTGCTCCACCGTGTCGCACGCCATACTGAACTCCAAAGACGTTAACGTGTTCATCGTCGATTGGAGCAAAATCGCCAAACAGAACTACTTCACCGCCCGCTATTCGGTAGCCGGGGTGGCCAAAATCGTCGGTAGACTGATCGACGATCTGATCGAAAGCAACGCCCTGCAACTGAACAGGACTTTCTTCGTCGGGCACTCCCTGGGCGCCCACGTCGCCGGAATATGCGGGGCTGTGCTCAAAGGGAAAGTCAACCATATCGTGGGTAAGAACTCGAATCTCCGTCTGGTTACCCGAAGTTACGATCGGGTTTTTCGCAGGTTTGGACCCGGCTTTACCGCTCTTCCCGTGGGACGAAGTGGATGGTCGTCTTGACCCAACCGACGCCCAATTTGTCCAAGTCATTCACACCTGCTCGGGAATATTGGGATACAACAGGGATCTCGGCCACGTGGATTACTGGCCTAATGGCGGTAGCGATCAACCGGGTTGCGGAGGTTTATTGGACATTGGAGGTAAGTTAAAAGATTACTTATCTGTGTTTTAAATATCTTGTGACATTCAACAAACACCTGGTCTTAAAATTTGTTATTTCATCTCAAATGATAAGGAAGATAAACGAGATTGCTAAATGGATAAAATTTTGCTATCGACACTTCACCACGATTTGAATAACAATCACCACTTGTTATTGAATTGATTTGAAGAAATTATATTGATCTTCTTTTCAAGGCGCTTGTTCGCATTCAAGGTCGTACAAATACTTTGCCGAATCCGTAATGAGCGATGGATTTCTATCTCATAAATGTGATAATTACGAAGACTACGAAAATGGAAAGTGCGATAAGGAACCCACGTCACCAATGGGTGAATACTCACCAGATTACAGGTGAACAATTATATCTCACGTTTACTAAATTTTTAATTAAATGAATATTTATAGGGCCACTGGTAGGTACTTCTTGCAAACCCACAGCGAATCACCGTTTTCCCAAAACTAATGTTAACTGAACAAAAATAAAAATAGATAGCTTGTTTAATTGTGTTCTTATTAACAACATCGCCATCAAATCAAATTACATCACCACCTCTAAACAGACGGGGATATCTGTATTTGATCTTCCGTGTATTAGGTGCGAGTTTCTCATCCGATTGTTCTCGTATTTACGTTGGACTAAATGTACAAGTAGGCTCTGCTTGATGTTCACTTCGATTGTTTAACTTCATCCGTAGCCACCTGTTATGTCGTTTGCTGTTCGCTCCTTCCGCTTACTTCGGTGCACTTCAAAGGACGAATCCGTTAATTCCTTAATTATGAAAAGGCGCTGCGAACGGGCTAAGGGGTAGACGCAGCTCTCCTTTTTTTTTCTTCTTCGCCGGCGCGAATTCGTTAAATTCGTTTTCTGCTTAGGAAATTTCGACGCTCGACTGCCGGCGCGATGAGGTCGGATAGAAAACGGAAAATAGAGTAGAACGTGTAAAGTAATACTCTTTCGCGAATTCATCGGATCAGCTGTCAAGTAAGCGGCGAAAGCAGGAGGAATCTCTCATCCTACGGGCGTATGGGCCCCATCGCTAGGAGCTTCGGAGAAATTTAATTAGTAGACAATACAGAGCGGCAGCCACTTCACACCTACATACTTTACGATATCTTATCGCATTTCAACTGAATTGAAAGTCAATGTGTTAGTGCCTCGACAGCGGCGCTACTTCTATTAATTTCTCTCTAATTACTTGTATGTAATTAACAGCGAATGTCTACTTCAAGTAAACAACAATTAATAAAACTATTGTGTGATAAATGCTAAGCTGGAATAATTTCATTAGGAAATTCAATATTGTAATCAGTTTATTAAATTAATGCGGGATACGCCGCTGGTCAATTCTCGTATATCGCTAAATAACCCAAGACGGTTTGTTAATTTGCGTCTTATAAGTTAGACGCGTCGGATTGTATTCCATCTCTTCGGATGCACGATATGCAATGATTAAATTTGCCGTAGTTTTACCCATCAACCCATCAACGCTTGATGAGCGATCTCGATCTCGGGTAGCTGCGAATCGAATATTGTCTGGCCCTCGAGAAGGTGGAACTGACAAATTAACATCGAGGGTTGAAATTGTTCGGTAAATGCATGCGACGATTAATTCGGCTCCTCGATTATTTTACACAGGGTGTTTAGTATACACAAAAGTAATTTTATGTGTTGTGTCGCAGGAATAGGTTCGACAAAGTGGAGGTGGATGTCGGCGATGTTTTCTCGCCCTGCGCGCCTCATCCTATGCTGTATTCATTATTATTCATAAGAATGTTAATTGTATTAGACAACCCTCTCGGTATACTTATACTGTACATACACCCATAAGATACTGAATGACTACAACAAATCATAATAATAAAATCTCCCCGGTTCTAGTACACTTTTCGCGGAGACCGGTGAACGGATTGAACCAGATCCGCACTCGCTCCTCTTCTAACCCAATTTCCTGTCAACCCCCAATATTATAAAAAATAATAATAATAATAATATCAAAATGTAAATTGATAATAAACTCCTGTAGCTTCAGTTTGTTGAATAAAAAAACTCATTAGATTTAAAAGAATGGAGGTACCTACTGAAAAAGTGGGGCGGTAGTCGGGGGTGTATTTTATCAAAATTTGGTTAAAAAATCCGTAATTCGGAAATACGTCTCTGGCGGTTTAAAAAGGGGTCGAGGCGCGGGTGCCGTTCGCTCCCCGCCCCCGTCCGGCCCGGGGACCGCGGGGTGGTTCGAGAAGCCGAAGGGGCGGGAAGCTTCGCGTACAGGCACATCACATGTTAAGTCCTTAATACGTGCAGAGACAAAGTAACTCTACTGTAAAGCCGACTCGTAGCTGCTTTTGACAACGCGACATCGCTAATTAAATATATTATTATAAATATGGGCCTTTTGTAGGGGGGCGAAAAATACAAGATTATTCGTTTATGCGAGCTCCAGGCTAAACGTCGCGTCGGGGATGTTTCTGCGTTTTCGAATCTTCGTCGAGTTGCCGGCAAGAATAAATCGAATGAACAGGAATCGAAATGAAGAGTATAAAATTTAGTCGAATTGATGATGTCCCTATTATCTTCCTACCGCTATTTCTACATACATAAATTAACTAAAAATTTCACCAAATTACCATAAATCATTATGTCCCGGTATCCAAATTTCCTGATATCTATTTTTGTCGAGGCGTTGAATTTTCGCAGCATTCCGAGAAATTTGCTTCGAATTTCCGACGATTTTTTACCCATAATTTTCCATTCAATTACGCTTACTAATGAGGAAAACGGCATGGAAAATTCGCAAGCAAATGTTCTTGAATTAAAAAGTATCGACATCGAGGCGCATTTGCCCCCCCTTGGTACGCGAACGCTTGGATCAGTGGCGCACATATTTTTTTAATTCAATTTTTTTTATTATTCCATACAAAATAACAATATATTTGTCGTAATTTTGGGCTCTAATAATCTAAATCATTAAACTAGATATTTACAGTGATACAATTTTAATTGCTAATAGAATTAGGCTTAAAAATTAGTCGATTAAAAGCGGTAGCGGGCGCCTCTGCGCCGGATCCGAAAGATGGGGGTGATTTTAAACAGTAGAGAAGAGGGTGAGTTTTCATCCCTCACGTGTATTTCTGCTTTTCTATGCAAACACTGATTAAATTTTCATGCCCGTAGGTATGGGATAATCTATACAGTCCTATATATTGATTCGTTCCTTAATAATGCACGAGTTATAATTGAAATTTTGATAAAGGCTGTTCAATGGAAGTCCCCAATGATTCCAACGGAATTTAAAATACATATATTTAAAATTCTTATACATATTATACACACTAGCATACTCACTATTAGAAATCTATGTGAAATCTATCATCCCTTATTATGACCTATAAGAAGCATTGGGAAGGTTGACGGATGCCCGAATTCTATCGAAGGAATAAATTCAGAGCGAGTTTTTTTTCGATTCCAATTCTTCGCACGTTTTTCCTCGAGGTGATTCTTTATCTCACGCTTTCCAAAACAACGAAGACGTCATCCAGTGGAAATTAGTTTAGATAGATCAATCGTTAACACTGGAGATGTCCTTATGAACTTAGTCGAAGTTATGAGGAATTTTAATAGTACTCGTAGATAGACGATGAAAATTTTTCAACAAAACATATTTACTCTAAGATATAGAAAATAGCTATGAATGAAAAAATATTAAATCTAATCTTGAGATCAAGATTATTAATCGCTTTATAAACGTGTTATTTTTTTCATTTATCTAAATTATTTGTTGTGCCTACTATAAGTGAGAATTTATAAAATTTCAGTGTATAAATGTACTTAGATGTGTAGATAACAGATAATAAATTTCTATCATAAACGTGATAGATATTCATCTAAAAAAATGGCACGAAAATTCCAATTAATTTTACAATATCAAAGTTTTAATTAATCCTTGGAAGTTTTTCTTCGCTGACCCCGATGCGGAAAATCCGAACGCTTTTCCTGCTAATCGAAACGCCGAACGCCATCAGAGCAGCATCTTTGTCGGGATTTCACTGTACCATATGAATATGCAGATCCCCTATTAGAATGCCAAATACCGAAGTTATATCTACAGTAGGCACCACTTCTATCCACTCGATATTGAGATGATTTCGTTTCGAGATTTTCCCAAATCACGCCAGCGGCGTTACGAGAGATTTCTAATTAAAGTACGACCAGTCTCGTTTAATTCGAAACCGTGAAGAAATCCACGAGAAACGGGCGTAATATATTTTCTTTTATTGTGCGCTGGGTGTGGGTGTGGTGTTACTAATTTATCGGTTAGTAAGGGGTTGTTTGTTAAATAAAAAAAATCGGGTTGCTATTGTAGCCTTCCAGCCGTCCTTCGGCCACGTCCTTAAAATGAAATGCTGCCGGATTTCTGTTTTTGTCCTTTCGAGGATTAAAGAGGATTTGCGAGGAAGAGCAGAGACAAAATACGGCGACTGGTGCGGTTCTTTTTTTTTTTATTCGCCGGGACCGAAGATATATAAATTGTTTGATAAGCCGATTTTCAGCTCGCGTTCGAAGCAAACGTCAAGGATTTTGAATTAAAAAAAAATTTAACGGAAAAGGATCGGGGATTTTTGTTTTGCGAGTAGATAATTTTCCGCTCTCGGGGCCTCCTATGCCTATGCCGAACGATTCCATCCAGCCTCTTTATTATTAATGAATTTTCATTTCGAGTTTCCCTTTAAGCATTGATGAGCTATAATTATTATGAAGGTAATGGCGGAGTGCATTTTGCAGCTGCGAACGCAACGGAATGATCTATCAGAGTTGGACACAAAGCGCTGTAATAAGGCATTTAAATATTCAAGTCCTTCTCACACACAACGCGACACCTAGGTATCTAATTGGAAAACGATAAATAATTATTACGCAGATATTGCAATTAATTTCTCGAACAAAATTTGTTTATAATGCATTTTGTAGGGGATCCGGAGCGATGAAAAGTTACAATGACACACTATTTAACTAGAAAACATCCAATATACTTCAATATTCTTGAGGAAAAAATAACATTTATTTGTATAAAGAATTCATTGTATTTTTTTGTGAACAATACGTCTAATGCCGACCTGTTTATTCCCATAGCTAATATTTCTCGTCGTTCCTGTCAGTAAATTCGCCAAATTGATTTGCTCTATCTGCGGACTGACAGCCGACAATGTATTATATTGTTTTCTTCCGCTTTTGTTCGACAAAATTGAACTCCTTTCTGTCGAAAGGACGTTGCGCCGTTAAACGTCCTGTTGGTCCGCGATTATTTTTCCACGATTTTTTTCCTCTGTTGAGCTCTCGTTCGACATTAATCACCGAATTCGGATTCCCATTGTTCGACCGTCCCCCGCGTAATAAACGAACGAATTTATTCAGTCGATACCTGTTTACCTTTCCCTATAAAATCCAGCGATCCCTATATGTCGTAACGTACGAATGAGATCCTGCATAGATATTAACCATCAATATCAAATACGCGGTATCCAGGGCGAGGATTAGTAGGGATTTCGTAAGTGCCATCACCTAGGGAGTGACGGGATTACGTAAATTATACATCATTTATAATTTATTTGGAACTTCTATTCGAGAAGCTAATCTATGGCAACGGAAGAATCGATCAAACGGAATTATTTGACGTTAGATTTTTACAGCTGTTTGGTGAAGCAAAATGAATACCAATCCGTGCAAAGAAAGAGAACCCAAAGTAATAGACAGCAAGTTACTGCAAAAATGCATCGAAGAGCAGCTTCCCAAAGGGGAATTAGGTGAGCTCGTTGATAAATAAATTTATCAGAAACTTCTACTCTTTTGTATCAGGTCGTTTGATGAAAACCGAGGGAGTAGAGCAGGCGAATGTGGAGCAATTGCGATTAGAGTTCCTGAACATCGTCAAAATGGACCACTTGTGGGTACTGAAATCGATAACCGTCTTAAAACTGAACAATAATCTCATAGAAAAAATCGAAGATTTGGAAAATTTAATACATCTAGAAGATCTCGACTTGTCCTTCAACAAAATAACCAAAATCGAGAATTTAGATACCCTAGGCAAGCTAAGAATTCTAAATTTATACGAGAACCGAATCGAAAAACTGGAAAACATGCAGAACCTCAAAAGCCTGACGATTTTCAACATCGGAAAGAATTTAATAAAAGACAAAGAAACGGTAAATTAGGAAAAGTTAAATAAAAACAACCTCTAGTACAATTTTGATGTAGGTACATCATTTAAGAAGAATTCCCAATCTGATATCCCTCAATCTAGCCGACAATCCTTGTACTGAATTTGCTGATCTTCGCATATACGTAGCAGCTTTTTTACCCACTCTAATCTGGTTCCAATACAAGAAAATATACCCTGAAGAAAGGGAAAATGGATGCACGAAGTTCAAGCAACAAATCATAGGTATAAACACCTTTCAATTCCACTTAGAACGATTCTAATCAGCGAGCCATTGCAGACCAAGAAGAGCTGGAAGAAAAAGAATTGGCCAAGATACTGCAAAAAGAGCGCGAAGACAGAGAAGCCGAATTAAACATGGACAGTTTCGTTGAATATTTAAACACCAGACATCTCTTCGATAAAATGTACGAAAACGACGCCGAAGGAAAACTCCTGCTCAATCTCGGCGACGACGTCATGGAGGCCTACAACGAATTCCAAGAAAACTTCGTCAATTATTGCAAGATAACCACTACAAACTCCTTAAACCAAGCATAATTCGGTGTAATGTTTCAGGCAGAGAAATTTTCGACATAGGCCAGAAGCACTACAAAATCCGCCAGGACGAAATAGCCGCGTTTTTCCGCAGCACCTCCCTCGTCAAGCACGACAGCCAGCAGGAGAGCATCAAGTACATGGAGGAATTCGTCGAGTCCAAAAACATTCTCTTCAGCAAAGTCAACTACCTCCAGCGCGATCTCATGGAAGGCTACATCGAGAAGAAGGAGTTCGACGTGGATATCGTGCAGAAGACCGAGGAATTCAACCAGCTCATCCACGTCACGTGGAAGAAGCTCATGAAAATCGAGCTGATACTCTACGAGCAAATGGACGAAGTCAACCAGACGTTCGAAAGGAACTTGAAGGAAATGATCGCCAATCTCATCGAGGAGTCGCAGAACTGCTTCACGCAATTGAGGGATTTGGAACAGCAGTACTTCGAGCGGGTATCCGAAGTTGCAAATAAAATGTTTGCAGGGTAAATTATTTATCTATTTTGTCTATTTAAGAGTGAATTGTATTAATTTATGAAGTAGGTATATCCTTAAAAATAACTATCGGGAATTTTAGGATAGGAATAATAGATGACTTGGTGATACCAGAGGTCCTTGACGAATTGATGTCTGATAAGGATAATGTCCTGAACTGCTTGGCTGCTACTCACGATACTCATTTGACCGTAATCGATACCAGAGAAGATGTTTTGATGTTCAGAGCAAGAGGTAGAGAAATTTCGAAAATTTTGCAGCGTTTGTTTGTAGCTTATTTGTTTCAGAATGGTTCGATATATTCACCAAAAATCTATTCAGCAGCGAAATCGACAGAAATCGATACAAAATCTTGGAATTGAACCATTTCCTGGACATCCAAAGGGACGAGTTCGCCGAATTGATAACCCCGCCAAAAGAAATCGAAATCGATGAAAGTTTCTCATAACAAATAAACTTTGTATTATACTATTTTTTTATAAAATTTATCGAATAATGAAACCCTTATAAATACCATCAACATTATTAAGTTTATGACCATCGACTACCCCTCTGGCGACTCGGATTACAGCCCCGGTTAGATCCTTCATTAGAACATACGTCGCCGTCTAAATCTTAGCAGGTCTTAGTTCTCCAAAGGGTTGAAAACGAGTGAACGCTGGGGTGCGAATAAGACGCTCTCACGCCTTTCGCGCCCCAATGAGGATTTCTCTGTGTATCTTTAATTATGAAACCGACAACACCAGAAAATTTATTGGGCAACAATAAGATGGTCGGAGGATGTTCGGCGGGGCGAGGGATGATAAGCAGGGTCGATTTCAACGGGTGTATGTGTTAGAAATTCAGGCGGAATTGTTGATAATAACTGCATCGAAAGATGACTACTGTGCGGATTTTTACTGCGTATTTTTATTGTGAGTTTATTTCGCCATTCGATATCTTTTGCATCCCTTAAATTGCCTAAGGGTAGAAAATAACGGCACCGGAAACATAACTGCGACTCGTCGTAATGCCGTTTTAGTGGCAGATAGTCGGAAAACGGATTTTAGTGGCCTTTCGACGCCGTCATTCATTCGACTAGTTAAAACTTGTTTGTTCTAAAGTTGCGAGAAAAATATGTCTCTTCGGTTAATTCGGATTTAAAAATTTTTATTGAAGAATTCTCAATGTTGAGTATTAACGTGTGTTTTAAATTCCAATCACTCTGGGCGTATTTTATTAGGTTTTAATTCAAATTTCCCCGTCATCAAATCCCAATTAAATCGATTCAGCCCTTCGGTTGAAAAAACGCGATAGGTAGGTGTATAAATTGTAATAAATTTCTGATTAAATTTTTCGACGTTTCGACCGCTCTCCCGTCTTCTTCCGGTCGGCAAATCAATTAGACGACCGTCGAATATAATTAAATTACAATGAAAAGAAAATCAATTTTCGAAGTATTAAAACGCAATCAAAATGTAAATTTCGGGGGGTCGTTAAAAAGATCCTCGGATTTCGGTCGGTTTTCCATTTCGACCCCGCAGGCCCGATAAATCGGGAAAAATTCGTCGCGGCGCGTAGCCGAAGAATTCATTGGTGTGTTTTTGCATCCGAAGAAGTCGAAATGTAGTTGTCGAGTTAGCAAATTGGGAGTATTCGACCCGATTCGGATATTCCGGAGGCATCCGTGCTATATGGAAATATGCAAATATTCGAAAAACAGCTACAACTCGGATATATTCGCGAACGTACATAACCGAAATGAAAATCCACCCTCGCCCCTTGTCTGTCTCGTCTGATCGTTTCGATTTGGATAAAAGACACTAGAAATAAAGAAAGCCATTCCGCGTATTGGATACAACCATTAAAAACAGTCTGATATGCACAATAAAACGTAAAGCCACTTGGTTTATGGTCCCCCTCTTTTTTTTTCATATGCAATCCGAAGATATATGTATATTTCGGGAGTTCATCGAGTGCGTGAGGCGCCTCGGGGGTTCCTTCCTGCACCCCTGCAGAGTTGAAAAGAAAAAGGGTTTCGGTATTTTACAACATATTTTAATTCGACTCTCAAATACATGGTGTCGCAAATTATTGATCTTATTTTCGTCTCAGTTTTTTACACTATACTTTTTCTACGAGTTCAATTCGTTAGTATAGGATATGTTTTATTATTAGACAAATGTGTTTTCTATGTAGTAAAGAACGTACGATATGTTCGTATGAGCTTGCATGATTGGTGACATAGGAAGTTCCGTTCACGCGAGCGATTAAAGTATATTAATAAATAAATAGGCGTTTTAACCGAACCAACCCCTTTCGATATAACGGGAATCAACAACGAACCATTATTGTGTATTTAACCAAACAAGGTAATAATTAAACGTTGAAACACACCTTTTTTTCGTTCGAACGTAAATAAACTACGCTTTTATTCACCTCTTGTTTGCTTAATATGCTTAATTTAAATCGTAAAATACAGGGTGATTTCTTATAAATTTTCACAAATATTAGTAAATTAGTAAATATTTCGAGAGAATGATTAGTAAATTATTAGTTGATTGGAGTTGACAAATTTTAACGTATATTCGCAGAAGCTCTACAAATAAGTATAATTCGTGCGATAACGGGAATAAACCGAATATTACAGTGGATTTTTTTATTAGACGAACCCATTCCAATTACTCGAATAAAGGACTATTATGCTACCCGGCTTATTCGGGCGTTCGGTTCGCCAAGTATATAACGTTTTAAAAGCAAACACAATTGACGATGGAAAAGATGAAAATTATCTAAGAAAATATTGATACAAGGTCTTTTAGAGTGTGTGTTCGAGCGTAAAGCCTTTTGTGTTTGAAATATCAATTGTATTCTCGGTAGACTTTGATAAAACAAACGAAAGACGTCGGCGGTTCTACAAATCGGATTGGGAATTAGGAATTTCGTTTCGATTTCGAAAGAGGACCGAGCGATCCGGCGGCGTCGAGCGATTCTGACGCTAAACGACGCCCGCCGTAGATTCGATGTTGACGTTGTGGAGCGTTCGATGCCGATCATTTACTCGATACGGAACACCGTTCGAATGATTCTCGACCGTACAGCCCGAATTCAAAGATGTAAACTGAAGGGTGTTTTAATCTTGGGCAAATATTTAAGCGTTCACAAGTGGAGTATTTTCTATTCACAAATCGGGAATTAGCTTCGATTCAGGTCGGCTCGTGTTTTTGATGTACGAGTACGCGATCGTGAGTAACGTTATTGATAACGTACAAAACGCTAACCGACAGGTAATATGCGAATTCCCCGTCGAACATCGAAATTAAGGGGGACGAAGAAAAGAAGAGGCGATATTTGCGCATATATACTTCCCCCTTCGACGATTGTGTATTATTAAACACATAATTTAAAATTTTATCGAATTCCGAGGCAATATAATGTGCTCTTTCCCTGCCGCCCGGCTTTCAATACATCTTACCTTATTGGTATTTTCCTATTTTTCCAACACCAGTGGCGAAACAAATTTTTATATTCATATCACCACACAACTCAAATTATTCTAAAACAAAATTTTATTTTCTATATTAATTCACCCTTTATCTACCAAAAATAAATTATAGTACTAGCATAAAATCTTAATATAAAATAAGGCACACCTCTGAATTCCGAATATTGATGAAGGCGAAAAAAGCAACATTCTTATGCATGCAAGGGTAAGCAAATTGAATACCACCGCCCCCCATGTATAATCCATAAGGAAATTTCGACTTTGAGGCGATATCTATTCTTCGATAACGCCTATTTAAATATTAAACAAGCAAATTGGGGCCCTCTTGTGCGGCGTTCGCTCAATATTTTTACCGCGCGCCGCGCTAAATGGGTCATGAGGATGGAGCGAAAGGGAGCGGAATCCGCGAATTGGAATACGTTATTTACCTCGTATGAAAAAAAATAAATAAAACGCGGCGAAAGAAAGCTAATTAAAATATATTACCCGGTTAGGGGAAAAATCGATGCGAGCAATTTGCATAAATACGAAGCCGGTAATCGATGGAAATTTCTAATTGCTAAGCAACGTTTTACCCATACAAATACAATAACTTCTCGAGTTTTTTTTTTCCATCGAGCGTTAAATACAACTTTAATGCATGGCCAGACAAAGAGAGCAGATTTCGAATCTGATATACCAAGGGGGTCGTTCCGATATTATAGCTTGGGAATTTTATATATTTTTTTAATTAAAAATCTACCCGAACTAACCACAATTTCGATTAACATCAAGCACTATAATCCCAATACAAATTACACCTCATAAATATAACGTAGATAAACCAAAATTATACTTAACAAAAATTATTGGCGAAGCCATCGAATGACCATACTATCAATATCGTGACTATTTCCAATGATATCAGATATTCGAGCAATGTTTGAATTAAATTTTGTATAAATTTGATCGGGAGATAGGGCCGCTTCGATTTTACGTTCGGCATAATAAAATGTACAAGGGTTTCGGCGTCTCGTGTCCTATTCGAATCAATTTAATTCCGTTTATCGAGTCGGAAAATACGCCGTTTGTCAGCGCGGCGATTGATCGAGAAAAGCCATCGGAAATGAGCCGTAAATAAAGGTTAATAAGATAATAAGACGAAGGATATTTGCCTACAGGAATTTCATGTAGTTCAAAGAGTCATTTTGGAGGGTAGTTATCAATTGGAGGACGTAAATTAATGGACTAGCACGAAGAAATATAGTGTGGAAATATAGAGTAATTTTTAATTTTCACAGTAGAAGTTTGAAATGGACTATTAGGTAGTACCTGGTGTATTCACCTTAAGTAAATTAAGAAATAGGATATTCATAATATTGTTAATAACTTTTAAAAGATGCATTTATTGAATTGGTGGTGCTCTTATTGATTAAAAGAAAATACTGGGTATAACTGAGGTCCAGTAAATAATTCGAGAAGTGAAAGATGCTAATAGAGCGTAGGAAATATCGAAGTATCAAACAATAGATAAGAAGACCCCTCAGTGGCAAGTTCTTAACGATCCAGTGGATATATCATAATCCACTCCCCGCCATATCTCGGTCGGCGGTTGCGGAAAACAACAAAAACTACGGACATCTCCGAACTTGTTTTAGAAGAGATTACCGAGTAATAAATAAAAGAACGACGTCGTGCTCAAACTTTCGGCAGAAATAAAAGTTATAATCGATTATTGCGAGTTGTCGCTACGTTATACATCGTAAATATCATCGTTGTGTTATATACAGGGTGGCCACATTATTATGGAAAAGCTCAATGTATCTGTTACTGTAGATGATATCTAAAAACTTCCTCACAAAAGTTGTAGATACTTTTAAAATTAGTTACATTTATGCGAAGTGGTTTTCCTCAAGAATCAATTCACCAAATACAGTTGATTTCAACAAATTTTTCTGTATAATTTTTCTGAGCGAATGATAAACTAAAGAGTATACCTATTCCGC